GAGACCCCGTCACGGGCTGAGGCGGCCTCAGCACCACCCATATTAACTACACAGAAGAAAAGTAAGTGGCTTCTCCTTGGGGGGCTGAGATTTTCAGATTTTTTCTTTTTCTTAAAACATATTACTGTTCTATAAACAGTCTCCTACACCCCGGGTTTTATTTTAATTACATGTACCCGTCCTTATTTTCTCTTCTACCAAACCTGAGCCGGACGCTATCTCGCAGTTAAAAGAAACCACATTCTTGGAATGAATCCCCCTGAAATAGCATCTCATGCTTCTTTGGACAGACGGTCGCAGCTTCTACACACATGGGTTTGGAATCCCTCTGGGCCCCTGGGCAGCCTTGGGGGGCTGGGAGCAGAGCTTGTCTTCTTTTACAGGGTCTCATAGGTTAGTGACCTATTTATTGCCCTTGAGGGAGGAAGACGCCAGGAAAATCTTCATGGAGTTCTGGTCTACTTCCCACCAAAATATAAAAGAATTCTCCTATCACATTTGTAAGTCATAAGGAGATTGGTGTCAGAGGCCAAGATTCCAATTACAGAATGAAAGAGTCTGTCCCCTTGAGTTTGATTCTATATTTGAACACCTCATCTCTCTCTCTCTACACACACATATGTAATGATGTTATGATTTTAACTTCTTAACTATTCAAAGGCAGAGATAAGACATAACTGACGAGTGTATTATTCTCACGTAATGGAAGATCCTTTCTGTGTAACTGCTAAATGACAAGTGACTGTGGCAGCAAAGTCTTTGATGACTGTCCTTACAAGCACATGATCCTGAAGAACACACCGCAGAGGGGAGCGTCACCCACTGCAGAAACCCAAAAGGAACGCAAACCCCAACAGAAACACAGGTTCAAGTGAAGCTTGATGATCCCGAATGCCCTTGGAAGACTGTGAAGCTCTGAGCTGTGACGTCCGCACACATCTGGAGAGATGCCACATCTAAGTGATAGCCACGGCCTCCCACAAGAGACAGACAGCCTGCGTCTCCCGGGCCACCGCAGTCATGCTGGCTCCCCTGGCCTCTGCCCACAGCATGGGTCAGGACGCCACTGCCCACTTAGAGCACTCACTCGTTTAGAGTCCCGAGGGATGTTCAGTGCCATAGATGTTAATTTGGGGGAAAGGCACTACAGAAAAAAAACAGCATGATTCAAAAATAGTAAGGCAGTAAATCGCAATGTATGGGCAGTATGTTTTTAGGTGTTCCATCTGTATGAATGTTCTAGAAAAGCAAAACTAGTTTATGTAAGTATCAAAATGCTTTTAAATACGATTAATTAGAGACATACAACTGAAATTATTAAACTCTTTTCTGCTTTCTCGAGCCCTAAACATAGCTTTCCTGTTTTTATCTTTTTATTTCAGATTAATCCTTTGATACAAATTTGGTATCATCATTTTCTACTATTGATTATGAGGTCTGACAATGAAGTTCATGAACTCATCCTAAAAAAAATGCTACATACCTCGTTGCTGAATATCACTATGGTCACCTTTGAAGCTCTCCCCTGGGGAAGCTGTGTACTGGTGCCAGGGCCAAGTCCCCCCTTCAGAGTGATTTTAAAACTCTTCTTCTGGAATGACCATTAAACCTGTCACTATATTACCCTGGATGTCCTGAATGTCATCAAAATGTCTTCCTTTCAATATTTTTTTTATTTTCATGTGAAGAAAAAAGTCACTGGGGGCCAGATCAGGTAAGCAGGCCAGGTGTTCCAATACAGTTAATTGTTCCTGGATAAAACCTCCCTACAGACAGTGCTGTGTGAACTGGTGCATTGTCGTGATGCAGGAGCCATGAGTTATTGGCTAAGATTTTTCAGTTAAGATTTTTCCTATTTCTCTACCCAAGTTTACTTGTTCTGTTATGCTTCTCAAAGTCAGTCAACCATTTTGATGAACAATTTGACTAATTTTTGCAATTTTTTCATCAGTTCTGTTTATTATTAGCTGCCCTGACCTCTCTTCATCAGTGGCACTTTCTCTCCCCTTAGAAAAACATTTAATCCATTTGTACACTGCCATTTTCTTTATGGCATTATCCCCATAAACTTGGACTAACATGTCCCTGATTTCACTTCCATTCTTACCAAGTTTAACAAGAAATTTACAAATGCTAGTTCCTTGCTCTAATTCAAGCTCTGACACTCTGGCGACGGCACACAAAAACACACAACAGTAATGAATGACACTCAGTAAGAACTGCCACACACGACAT